AGTTTGGCCCACTATTTTAAAAAAAAAATGGCGTCTGTTTACAAGAGCCCTGATGAAGGTGTGGTGAACCCCGTGTATCCACGGGCTCGTTTAAATCTTGCGTAGTACTCCAAAGCATCATATGATGCAATGCGCAATTTACTGCAAGTCGGTCAAAGCATCATATGATGCGATGCGCAATTTACTGCAAGTCGGTCAAAGCATCATATGATGCGATGTGCAGTTTAAGGGTTAAACTGGGTAGATTGAAGTCATCAAGGAAAATAATATCTGGTACTGGGATATTTTCTATTTTGTGCACCTACTCTGTGAGTTCCTCAACCGTTGCATCTGGCAGATTGAATATTAGAATAATAATAATTAGGTTCATTTTTTTTTTACCTTGATTCCAAGCACCTCTATCACCTCATTGGTTGAGTTTAGTAGCTCTATGCATATAGTTCCTCTTTAATATACAGACCTACTCCTCCATTTGACCTAATTTCTCTTATCACATCTATATAGATTATAATTTGGAATCCAGATTTCACTATCCATGTAATCTTTCGTATGAGTTTCTGTGAATGCTCCAAATATTGAATTTGACTACTAGGCCATTTATGAACTTAATTTTATTTGTTGATTTTGACTTTAGGCCTTGTATGTTTGCAAATATGAATGATCTTCCATATTGTTTGTCACATCTGGTAGATTTTAGTAGTTCTCCCTCTTCACCCTGATCCAGGGTATACTGTTTTGGCAATGTTTCGTCCAGTTTTGGTAGTGGTACTGGTGCTGGGGAGTGTGGTAGTTTCTGTGGGGGTTGGGGGGGGGGTGTAGTATAAGTGTGCCTGATGAGAAATTGTTGTCCAGTTATGTGCATTTCTCCCTCCCCATCTGTACTCCTGCAATGGTTCTGTCTGCCTGTTCCTCTCCTGTGTGTTCAACTTGGTTTCTGCCAGCCCCTAAAAAATTTCCAGTTATTATACTGGACCTCCTTCAGTTATTAAAGAGGTCCACAATAGCAGCGTGGATGGGCATGACATCAGGGTACAGTACACAAAACCAACGGGAATTTGGAAGAGCCAACCGGAAGCATGAATAATGAGAACGTGAGTGAGAAAGGAGAAAATAATTTTTTCTCACTAGTGAGAAAGAATGCAGAAATGGCAGTGACAGTTCAAACAACACAGATGACCCCAAAACAGAGGGGGGCCTCGTAGCCTGGTGGATAGCGCGCAGGACTCGTAATTCTGTGGCGCGGGTTCGATTCCCGCACGAGGCAGAAACAAATGGGCAAAGTTTCTTTCACCCTGAATGTCCCTGTTACCTAACAGTAAATAGGTACCTGGGTGTTAGTCAGCTGTCACGGGCTGCTTCCTGGGGGTGGAGGCCTGGTCGAGGATTGGGCCGCGGGGACACTAAAGCCCCGAAATCATCTCAAGATAACCAAGATAACCTCAAGAGGGGGCCAAGGCAAGCACAGGTATAAACAACATAAACAAAATATATATGGAAACATTATGCAAAGGGAATGTGTAAATATGGGCCCATTGGCACAAAATGCACAGTCATGCATCCCGGAAAATGCTGAAATATGTTGGGGAGGGGTATACTGTGTGTCGTTTTGTGACAGTGCAGATACTTCCACCCAAATCTATGCAAACTTTCAGTTGTTGAGAAAAAATGTTACGACCTTCAGTCTCCAGATTTCCATGCGAGAGATACAAGATGAGAGGAGGTGCAGTGTAATATATCTGGAAATTTTTTAGAGGCAAGCAAAAACAGAGTAGAACATACAAGAGAGAGGAACAGGTCATTGCAGAAATTCAGATGGGGAGGGAGAAATGCATGGGACGACTACAATTTGTCATCGGGCACATTTTTAATACACCCCCAACCCCACACAAACTACCACACAACACAGCATCAGTACCACGACCAAAGCTGGATGGCCCATTGCCGAAACAGCAAACCCTGGATCAGAGTGGATAGGGGGGAGAACTACCTAAACTCACCAGAAGTGACATGCAATATGGAAAATCATTCATATTTGCAAACATTCAAGGCCTAAAGTCAACATCAAGAAATATAGTTAACTTCATAAATGTCCTAGTAGAGTCGAATTAAATATTTGGGGCATTCACAGAAATCCATATAAAATCTGGATCCCAAATTATAATATATATAGATGTGATAAGAGAAATTAGGTCAAATGGAGTAGGAGGTCTGTATATTAAAGATAAACTGGTATGCACAGAGCTACATAACTCAACCAATGAGGTGATAGAAGTACTTGGAATCAAGGTAGAAAAATAAACCTAATTATTATTATTCTAAATATACAAACCGCCAGATACAATGGTTGAGGAATAGTCGAGGTTGGCTTTCTGTAATTACCTAAGTGTAATTACCTAAGTGTAGTTACAGGATGAGAGCTACGCTCGTGGTGTCCCGTCTCCCCAGCACTCTTTGCCATATAATGAAATATATAATATATGAAAAATATATGAAAATAATATATGAAAAATAAAAATATGAAATATAAATCTGTGGAACCAGATTTGGGTTTGTGGTGCTCCCTTCAGCTGGTCAGTCTCCAGCAGGTCGGTTTTGGGCTCGTCCCACTTGATAGGTGTTGGCTGCTCGTGGTTCCTCTGTTTTTATACGGTTCAGTCTTGTAGGGCCATGTGGGGGGGGGGGGGGGGGGGACCCTCTTCTTTTTTCAACCCTTGATTTTCGAGAAGGTTTGGTGTCCGGCCGTGGATCTCTGTATTGGCATGGTCTCTGTGTCGGCATCTTGGCACCTTTCCCTTTTCGTAGCACTGTTTCCCATTTGTGAGGTCCTTGTGGTATGTATTTTTCAGCTGGATTGTTTGGGTTGGAGGTTTCTACACCTCTTCCCCGATCCACCTGTTGCTCGTGGTCCTGGCATGACTAGAGTCCTATGGGGGGAAAGAGTGATCCTTCTGACTCCTTGGTTTCAGTCTTGGTTTCTGGCACTGCTTGCTCAGTGTCCAAACTTTGCCATTTTTCACTATCAGAAGGTTGGCATGGTGATATACTTTGCTGGTTCAACTTCCTCCACTCAATGCGTCCAAACTTTTTTTATGCGTCCTTATTCCCTTTCTGTGGTGATCTGTTGAATGGTTTGATGGTGTCCCTCCTGCGGTCTTCGAGGTAGCAGTATGAGGTGTCATGATGCTTGTTTCGTTAAGGGCTGGCTGGTACTTTAGGGTGTTTGATTTTTGTCTCATTTCCAAGTGGTTCTCATGGCTGTTTTTGGGTTCCGGCAGCCTGGTTGATAGGTTTGGGGAGTTTGGATTCTATCTCAAGTGGCTGCCCCATCCTTACTGGTTGCTGAGGCAGTAAAGCCAGCATTTTCCTACCTGGAGGGTACTTAACCTCTATACTAACAAGGTTAGCTGTCTGCTTGCTTTCTTCACTCCTTAGTGTCACTTATGGAACCTACTCCATTTCTTTACTTCACGGAGTATTGTCGACTATGTGAGTGGATTTTCTGCGTTGTCTTCCTCATTTTATTTAGTCTGTTCTCTGGTGGATTCTGGTTTTCTCAGCTTGTCTGGTCATGTTCCTGGTCACCTGGTGAAGTTTTTAGTTGGTTTCATCATGGGCTCATGTTTTACTGGGTCATGTTTGGGACCTTCGGTTGGTTCCCTGTCCTTACCTCTTGCAGCTCTGTTTTGCTTGGGTTTCTGGTACTGTTTGTTGCTTGTCCACCCATGCTGTTTTTCATGGTGATGGAGTCTGTGCTCTTATTCTTTTTTGTCCTCATACTTCCTTACCCATTCTTGCAGGGTGGTGGGGTGTGGCATGCTCGAGGGATCTTTCTGTGTTCTTGATTCTCTCTTGAGTGTTTTCTTCTTTGTTCAGTTGTCACTGGTGTTTGCCTATTTAGTTTTGCTGTTCTCCTCCTGCTCCTGGCAGGGTTCCTGTCTTCTTGGTACAATACTTGGCAAATGTGCAGGAGTCTGTGTTTTGGGGTTGTGTTTTTTTCTCTGGGCTGTGTTTTTGCATTGTGCTCTTTTCTAGTATCTTTGTTTTGGCTGTTGTTCCTTGAAGTCTGTTTCAAGGTTCTCTGGATTCTTAGATGGATTCTGCATCCTCCTTGTGTGCTTGTTCATTCACTTTGGTTCTGGGAGTAGGGTGGTTTGTGGCTTGTATTTATCAGTCATCCCTATATGGTTGCTCGGTTTCTCTTTGCTGGGTGCTCGGTGAGTTTGCCACAGCTTAATTCTTCTTCACCGGGTTCTGTGCTCATGCTCCAGTCCACCGCCCCTCGTTTTTTTTTCTGCTGTGCGGGGTGCAGATGCTCTCTTGGGTTTGTCTTTTTTTTTTTTTTTTCAAAATGTGGTGGTTGTTAGCCATTGTGATTGATTTTGTGTGGCATTTGGCTGTTCTCTGGTTATCCTCTGCAATCAGCTTGTCTCAAGTGGTCAGTCAACTTGTTGGCTGTCTCGCATGGGTTCTGTCCTTTATGGCCTTGTTACTCAACCACATGGAGCCGGTCGGCCGAGCAGACAGCACGCTGGACTTGTGATCCTGTCGTCCTGGGTTCGATCCCAGGCACCGGCAAGAAACAATGGGCAGAGTTTCTTTCACCCTATGCCCCTGTTACCTAGCAGTAAAATAGGTACCTGGGTGTTAGTCAGCTGTCACGGGCTGCTTCCTGGGGGTGGAGGCCTGGTTGAGGACCGGGCCGTGGGGACACTAAAAAAAGCCCCGAAATCATCCCAAGAAGATAACGTGCCCTTTAGGCTAATTGCCTTTCACCTGGCATGGTTATCTTGAGGTTATCTTGAGATGATTTCGGGGCTTTAGTGTCCCCGCGGCCCAGTCCTCGACCAGGCCTCCACCCCCAGGAAGCAGCCCGTGACAGCTGACTAACTCCCAGGTACCTATTTACTGCTAGGTAACAGGGGCATTCAGGGTGAAAGAAACTTTGCCCATTTGTTTCTGCCTCGTGCGGGAATCGAACCCGATCCACAGAATTACGAGTCCTGCGCGCTATCCACCAGGCTACGAGGCCCCCTACCCTTCAGGTGGCTTATTTCTCAGTTATAGTGATATAACATCTCCAGCTCTCTGAACCCCTCCGAGGAGACTGGGTTTGGGTCTCTGCTGTAACAGGATGTATGAGGATCAATATGGTTGGCTAGCAACAGAGAGCCACCAAGGACCCATTAGAAAGAGATGTTTCATTATATTCAGTGCCAAGTTTTGTAATTTTGTTTACGTTTTGTATGTAAATTTATCATTTTATAAGTGTTTTGCACAACCAGGAGAGTGACACCATTTATTAGTCACTTTCAGAATGTTAATGTACTTAAGTTAATTGTAAAGTTAATAGTGCACCTAAATTAATTCTTAACAATCATTGACAACAAAGGGTTGGAAATGCGTTGTCACGTTAGATATTTGAAGAGTCACATAATGGTGCATACTGGTGAGAACTTTATGAGGATCTCGGGTAAAAGAACCAGCGAGCCTTTTGCAGTGTCTTCCATTCCTTTGCAAAGGAACATATTAGCGTGTGAGGGTATCCTGTAATCCAAACATTTAATATCTTTACTTACTATGGATGAAAGTACAAAATATAGATAGCTTATTTAGACCTAGGGCAGGTTTATATAGATAGCTTATTTAGACCTAGGGCAGGTTTATATAGATAGCTTATTTAGACCTAGGGCAGGTTTATATAGATAGCTTATTTAGACCTAGGGCAGGTTTATGTTAGGTTTAGGGTTGGTCTGTTCCACATTTTTTGGCATGCCTTTTAGTATTATAAATTGTAAAAAATATGAATTGTATTCTTTTGGTAGAACATAACATACTTTGTACATTCTAGCCACAGTGACCATGGATTCCTTTATTGTTGGAGGATGAGTTGGTACAGGTGATAACCTCATAGATAACAGGTGATATCAACGAGTTGGTACATGTGATAACCTCATAGATGACAGGTGATATCAATGAGTTGGTACAGGTGATAACCTCACTCACTAGTGTCATAAGTTTTTGTAGTACTGTGTATTAGATATAAATAGGATATCAATTTCTGCAATTCCAATGTATTACAGTACTGTGTTTAGTAACCATGAGCTTCAGCTTGACTCCCTATTGAGGTAGTTTTTCTTCATATTATATATGAAGAAAATAGCCTATACTTGGCCACAACATTTACTTCAAAGTTGAAAGGCAAAGGTCATTAGCATGTAACATTTAATCCATATGTTCTATTGTTAGATATACAAACACATTCATGTTTCTCACCCCCCAGGAAGATCAACTGAAATTCAAGCATAGTTTTTACATATAAGCCTAATTTTAATAAACTGTTACTTTTACGAAGATATATTTCTAATAGTATCCCCTTAACGGCTCCTCACTGGAAGCATCCAAACCAGGTCTCCATGACCCAGGAGAACCTCCTGGAGACCATGACCTCACTCTGGCCCCTTCACTTACGCTGCTGGTGTCTGAGGATCACCTATCACCATACACCAAAACTAATCCCACCAGAATGCAAATTGGTACAGTACTTTGTACCAAGCAACTGCTTAGTCAAACTTGTGATCCTTACAATAATTAGGTAAATACAGTACTGTACAGGTAATCCTTGCCACAGGAAAATTACCACGTAAGATACACTCTTCCATGACTATATGATAACCCAGGTGATCTAGGGTGTCTGCTAACAAACCAGCTCATTCAAGAGCTAGTGTGCAGTAGGGGGTGGGGGGTACACTATTCTATAGGGCTTTCTGTTTCCTATCAGCTTGAGGATAAGTAATATTGGCAATCCTTGGAACAACAACAACATTAAGGGTCCAAGACTTTTCAACACTCCTGCTACACATAAGGGGCATAACTGGCCAGCTTCTCACAGTGTTCAAGAGAGAACTCTATAAACACCTCCAAAGAATACCTGATCAACCGGGCTGTGATTCATATGTCAGCCACGTCCAACAGCCAGGTTGACCAGACGACCAACTGGGAGACCAGGCTGCGGGGCCTTTGATAACCGGAATCTCAACAAGGTAGCCACAGTAGTTAGGTAACATATGGTGGCACCTCGATTAACGAGTTTAATCCGTTATGGCACCGAGCTCGTTATGTGGAAAACTTGTCTCAAGAGACAAATTTCCCCATTTAAAATAAAGGAAATAAATTTATTCCGTTCCACTCCCAAAAACATCCATACTTGTATGACATTTTATAATGTAAATATAATATTGCACATGTAATTATAAATGTTTTGTTGTACTGTTTTCATGTTTACCTTATGAAGAGTCATTGTTGGCTTGAGGGTGACGATGGGGAGGTGGGAAGGAGGAGAGGGGTTATGGTGTGGAAGGAGAATCCACCTGAGTCAGGTGGTCTCTCTCTCTCTTGGGAATTTCACCCCACTGGGACAGGGTTGTGGTTCACTATCACTGGCTCTTCTTTTCTCTACTTTTGCAAAGAACGTTTCTATTGACAATTGCTTTTGTCTTTGTTTTAAGATGTCCCTAAAACGAGACAGCAAATTGTCATTAAACATGTTCACACACCGGGTTGTCACTGCTTTATCAGGGTGATGCTTTTCCAAGACTGCATTCACCTTTTCAAACAATCCCAACACTTCCCTGATCTCACTGGAAGAGACAGCATCCTCCCTTACCTCCCCCCCTTACTAATGGTACAAATTGTTGATGAGGACCTGCCATACTCCCTTGTGAGATAGTCACAGACACCACACTCATGCTTTGCTATAATTTCCTTCTTCAAATCCACAGTAATTGTCTTTCTTCCTCTTGACAACACTATCTTTAGTAAGCGGCAGCTTTGGCGATATCGTATGTTACAAATTGTAGTCAAAACTACAAAAAACAAAGAAAAGTGCAAATAAATACAGAGGGATGCTTGTCGTGTGCGATACAACAACACTGGTGTCGGAGGCGTCCGAGAATTTGTGAGAACCCGCGAGACGCTAGGAAGCACCATGTGGTTTTGCTCGTTAATAGAGGTGAAACTCGTCAATAGAAACAAATTTGCTGCGAGTGGCTCGCTCGTTACTCGAAATGCTCGTAGATAGAGCCGCTCGTTAATCGAGGTGCCACTGTACTCCTGTTTGGGGGTCAATGTTTGGCTATGTTAAATATTTAGCCTCACTTGTGTGCTATGTACCGCTTCCCTTGCATGTACTGAGTTGTTAATTTGCCCATTGTAGCTAGTGTTATCTTTCCTGGCAGGTAACTTACATTGCCCTTGCCCCTCCAGGGTTATCATCCAGACTGGATTCCGTCTGGGTCGAGGGAGGGGGAAAGACCTTTTGTGCGTGCTCCGTTAAAATCGTGACTTTACCGGGATTTCTTACGCAGCTATGGATTACTGATTACAGACATCACAAAGTGCATAGTGACCCGTTGGAAAGTTGAATACAGTACAGTCATTAACATTGGAACTTTCTGTTTAATAGATAATAAACGGGAGACCACGTGGAAGTAGTGCCACGAGGCTCTGTGTACATGCGTGTAGGCGATATAAGGAAAAAATAGTGAACAGTGAAGTGGAATGGGTATCACAACACATATAAGTTGGAAGTGTTGGAGAATCGTGCATAGAATATTATAAATATAGAATATTAGAAATATAGAACAGTGGCAAGAGACAGCATCAGCTAGGCTGTGTTTACACAAGCCACGAGGCCTACCCCAGGGCACGTCCCTCAGTGATAATATACGGACAATATATAGTGTAATATTGAAATGTGGATCTAGGAATCTATATAAATAAAAATGGAAATGTTCGTTTGTTCAAAATCTCTAATCTCCGAAAGTTCTTCACCGATTGTCTTGAAATTTTCACACGTTCCATTCACATCAGAGCGGGTTTTTATATACATACTATATAGATGTCACGTCTGTGACGGGAAAAACATGCTTCTCTTTAAAAGCAAGAAGGTTAGGTCAGAGCAACCGGCACGTTTCCGTTCTCAATTTCCAGAAATTGATGTGAGAATATCCCAGTTGTTGGATAGCTTTGCTGCTAGACACGCATATTTTAGTTAATATTAACGTCTTTACGTGGCGCCACAAAGTAGAGTATTTCAGGCGAGCATTTATTTCGTCCGCTGGTGTCGATCGAGGAATTACAGATAATGTTTGCTTGAAATCTCCGGCAAGCAATATTAATGCGTTCACAAATGGTCTGGTGTTTCCATGCAAATCTTGCAATGATTGATCAAGAGCCTCGAGCAATTTTTTGTGGGCCATTGCTCATTCCATTTTTTTTTTTTAAGAGAGAGATGTCAATTCTTTGTAGTTTCTGGAAGAGAATTTTGCTCACAGTAGCCCATCTTCATACTATAATTTACAGTATTTCATTATAAGCAAGTTTTTAAACTTCTAGTGATTTTTATCACCCACTGACCTCCCCTGAAGTTGTTTGTGCTCATCCACCAGTGTCTTAATTTATAAATAATTTCTGTTATTCTTTCCACACATTTTTCTGTTGTTCACAAATGTGGCCTCTTCTGCTTGATTTTGACTTGAGGCCTCTTTTTCGGTGTGTGATTATAATACCCCCTCCCTCTTGTTTTTTCTTATCTTCAAATTTGTTTATAGTTGGCCACGTGCTTTATGAACGCCTGTTACCGATTGGGATTTGTTTGGATAAAAAAGTTTGGATAACTGGTGGGACAAGCAGCAGTCTGAATAAAAATGTGCAATTAAGATGGAACAAGTTTGCCCAGTGAGCCGGTAGGCCGAGCGGACAGCACACTGGACTTGTGATCCTGTGGTCCCAGGTTCGATCCCGGGCGTCGGCGAGAAACAATGGGCAGTTTCTTTCACCCTATGCCCCTGTTACCTAGCAGTAAAATAGGTACCTGGGTGTTAGTCAGCTGTCACAGGCTACTTCCTAGGGGTGGAGGCCTGGTCGAGGACTGGGCTGCGGGGACACTAAAGCCCCGAAATCCTCTCAAGATAACCTCAAGTAGAGATTCCTCCCAAACAATAAGTTTACATTTGTGCAATGCTTTTCCCATGCCGGATGCTTTGGAAATGTTGAACGTGGGAGTTTCAATGAACTGCATGTTCAATGGCAATTTCATAGCCGAAGTAGCAGTTCTTTCACCTGGTAGCAATGTCGCAGCTATTCGGGATGATGCAAGAGCTAAGATTATGCCATTTTGGAATTGAAAAGCTGCCAGAATGAATCTAATTAGGAAGGTTTTACAGTTCCTCCAGGCGCATCTAAAAAGATTTCTCCAAACCCGTTATTGAGAGTGAATTATTTGACTGTAAATGCCTTTTCGCTCAAGCATTCGCTTAGGAATGTTTGATTGCCCATACGACAACAGATCGTTCAATTTTGTTCACGACGCAATTCTACATCGAACGAAGCAGTATCAGATCGATTCGGTGATGACATTTCCAATTGATTTAGAACTTTGTTCGCGATTTCTAAGCACAAATCTTCAGTCATTATCAACGCTTCGTTGTAGATTTCTGATGTAAAATCTATGTTCATATTTGAATTTTCCTTGTGTATGGACGAGTCATTAATTCATACATCCTAGTGTCGGTCGTTTTCCAATAAATTAAAGAGCTTGACATGCACTACGGAAAGTGGCATAAGTTATGCCATTGACAAATCTCAATGGCTGGAAAGTCGTTGGACTGGGCCCTATTTACCAACAGCATGTGAAGAAAGAAGCTCTCATCTTGATTAGGATGCACCGTGTGCAGTCTGCCTATCGTAGTTTATTTGAATATGCCAGGTTGTCCGTCGACTTGCTCTCCTTGTTTGCGTCTTTCAAATGATTTTCTACTCGCATTGTGTGTGTAATACGTAGGCACTTCCAAATACAGTAGTGTTTTCGCAAACGCGTCATTTTGACAGAACGCGAAGAAAGCAGTTAACGCTGTAGCCGGTGGATTCATGGCTGTTTGTTGCACATTTGCAGCTCTGAAATAAACGTGTTACCCATTTTCTTGTTTTCAAAACAAAAACAAAAAACACTAAAGAAATATTTCAATTCACACGCAGATCAATCGACATAGCTCAAAATCACCACCAATTGCACTGAAAAATAAGAACAGTTAAAAAAACGAAATGAAAAACAGTGAAAAAAGAAACAAATAAGCTATACCCACGAAATGAACGGTATAGTAAACAACATAACTCAATTCCAATGCAACGTCACACAAAACAATTAAATCAAAATGAAAATAAATAAAAATCTATGAAAATTAAATTTATCAATGCAATCCGGAACATTGAAATGGAATAGTAACATATTTTGTATATCGTGTATTGCTCTTACATGCAACAGATGACACTGTTTTTCCGAAAATGCATG